CTGTTTTAAATATATTTTATTTTATCGGGTCAAATAAAATATATCATGTGATCTTACTCTTTATGACATGTATAATGAATATACATTCCCCAACTTTAATTTATAAGCCCCCGAAATTCAGTTCGGGCTGTTATCTGTCAAATAAAATATATCATGTGCTCTTACTCTTTATGACATGATAATTGAATTATTAAGTACCTCTGAGTGCATTTGTATTGTTTTAGGGGATTTGGGTGTATGCCTTTGGGATTAGAGGGCTGTTTCATTGAAGTTCGTTGATTAGTTAATATTGTCTCTAAGAATGAATCAACAAATGCTTTTCTTTCTTTCAGCTATGGTAGATAGGTATTGTTTGTTCTAATAAATCAATGATAAGGGGCATACAAATCTAATTTTCCTGATTTTTTAATGAAAACATCTCTGGGTGGTTTAGCCTCAACTGAATATTGTATTTCAGTTTGTTTTCCCTAATTCTCTTCATATGGATTTTTTTGGCATTTGATATCCCTGATTGCGTTGAATCGTTGTCATTTGAGTTGTTAATATTTACTGAACATTGCATGAGCAGTACACTCTCGGCCTTGTGAAGTTATAATAATAACTAGAGTGTTATTTGTGAGTTATTGATGGTTAGAACAGTGGCAGATCGAAAAAAAGAAAGTATTGGGGGCAAAATAATTAAAGAAATACATCCAAACAAAAACTTAATAAAGTACATTTGAGAGTAGCAAAATTTCTTATAAAGTACATGATAGTTTTTACAAATCAAGTAAAATATACTCTGTACAATAAAAAATCTATAATAAAGTGATTTATTACTCTAGTTCACAATTGTTCCAGTTCACTTTTCATCTTTTGAATGTGATTGACTACAATTCCATTTCTGACCCTTTCAAATAAATATCCTTGTATAAAAGAGTCAATTAAAAGCTAATGACAACAAAAACTCATTTTTCAAATGTATCAAAGTGTGATTTACATTAGGATATAGTTAATTTTTACATATTAGATTGTTACTAAATTAATCTTGACCTACTGCTATGTAGGATAATACTACATAGCAGTAGGTCAAGATTAATTTAGTAACAATCTAATATGTAAAAATTAACTATATCCTAATGTAAATCACACTTTGATACATTTGAAAAATGAGTTTTTGTTGTCATTAGCTTTTAATTGACTCTTTTATACAAGGATATTTATTTGAAAGGGTCAGAAATGGAATTGTAGTCAATCACATTCAAAAGATGAAAAGTGAACTGGAACAATTGTGAACTAGAGTAATAAATCACTTTATTATAGATTTTTTATTGTACAGAGTATATTTTACTTGATTTGTAAAAACTATCATGTACTTTATAAGAAATTTTGCTACTCTCAAATGTACTTTATTAAGTTTTTGTTTGGATGTATTTCTTTAATTATTTTGCCCCCAATACTTTCTTTTTTTCGATCTGCCACTGTTCTAACCATCAATAACTCACAAATAACACTCTAGTTATTATTATAACTTCACAAGGCCGAGAGTGTACTGCTCATGCAATGTTCAGTAAATATTAACAACTCAAATGACAACGATTCAACGCAATCAGGGATATCAAATGCCAAAAAAATCCATATGAAGAGAATTAGGGAAAACAAACTGAAATACAATATTCAGTTGAGGCTAAACCACCCAGAGATGTTTTCATTAAAAAATCAGGAAAATTAGATTTGTATGCCCCTTATCATTGATTTATTAGAACAAACAATACCTATCTACCATAGCTGAAAGAAAGAAAAGCATTTGTTGATTCATTCTTAGAGACAATATTAACTAATCAATGAACTTCAATGAAACAGCCCTCTAATCCCAAAGGCATACACCCAAATCCCCTAAAACAATACAAATGCACTCAGAGGTACTTAATAATTCAATTATCATGTCATAAAGAGTAAGAGCACATGATATATTTTATTTGACAGATAACAGCCCGAACTGAATTTCGGGGGCTTATAAATTAAATTTGGGGAATGTATATTCATTATACATGTCATAAAGAGTAAGATCACATGATATATTTTATTTGACCCGATAAAATAAAATATATTTAAAACAGTCCGAAAAATACAACTTTCGGGACAAATTGTACACTTCGGGACGAAAAGGGTTGACCTCCCACATGGTGGGGGCCAACCCACGTTTTTAGCCACCCAAAACAATAGATTGGCCGGCTGGTAGGAGTGGGAGTCATGGGGAGAGGATTTGAATTGAAAGGAAAAGCATCAAACAAAATGAGGTGGACCCCCATCCACCCTCATTTGATCATTTAGACAAAAGGACCATTCCCTCATCTCTCCCTCCCCCATCCCTGCGGCCAACACTCCAAGATAGATCCAGGAGAACCCCTCATCCCCCTTTCTCCATTGTTGAAGAGAGCTCAACAAGGAAGGACCTCAAGAAGAGGAATTAAAGTGCTAAAAGTGTGAAAATTAAGGTAATGACCTTATCATAACTCTTCCTTTAATTTTTCTTCCACCATATGAGATATATATCATGTGAAGAATCCTTAAGAGGGTTATACATGTTATAAGTATGGATGAATGGGTTGGGAAGTGATTCTATGTCCCAGAACGGACTTAGAAGCCAAAACGACCGGTTCACCGGAAAATAACCGTTTTGAGGTCATTTGTATTAATATGGGTTTTATGATTATAAAACCTTGTTAGGAACTTGTGAAAGGTATTTCAAGTGATTTCACAAAGTTGGAAAAGTCGCCGGAGTTGTCGCCGGAGTTGACCAAAAGTCGCCGGAGTTTCACCGGAGTTCAACCAAGAAGGGTAGAACTTCTTAACGCTAGTTCAAGGTGAGTGGACGGCTTAATATCTTATAACTTTTGGGTTAATTATGAGATTACCTAAATAAATGTTATATGTGTTCATAATGATGTTTAAAAGATATTTAAACATGTGATTAGCCAACATTATTAAGTTGTATGAAAAGAATTAATTGTTTATGCATGAAATATGATATGGGGAATTATATAAAATGCATATTAGCTTGAAGCGTAAAAGAAGCACAAATGAGTATTATTAACTTAATTATATGGTGATTAAGTTGATATGTACAAGGCTTGAATTGGCGGTCAACGACAACGTTGACCGATGGATGATGGATTAATTAATATCGGTTGATGTTAGTTAATTATACATTTATATAAATGCATGGTTTTGCATGGATTGTGATACATAAGATTTATGTATTGGATTAGTTATGAGTAACTAAGGATGATATAGACTCTATCTAGGTTGATAGAAGGTTGATCATAGGAAAACTTGGTGGAGGACCCTAGTACTTAAAAGTACTTAACACTCAAAACTTGGTGGAGGACCCTAGTACTAAAAAGTACTTAATACTCAAACTTGGTGGAGGACCCTAGGACTTAAAGTCCTTAACACTCAAAACTTAGTGGAGGACCCTAGTACTTAAAAAGTACTTAACACTCAAACTTGGTGGAGGACCCTAGGACTTAAAAGTCCTTAACACTCAAACTTGGTGGAGGACCCTAGTACTTAAAAGTACTTAACACTCAAAACTTGGTGGAGGACCCTAGGACTTATGAGTCCTTAACACTCACAAACCGGTGGAGTATCCAAGGATTATGATCCTAAAACTCATAGATTATGATATACAATTAGGGACAAGGAGGAGTCCTATACACTCATAGGGATATAGGTGGGTTGGGGTTTTTAGTCAAGAATATTGACTATTACTATTTTTCCCAAATAAAATGGTGATCTACGGATCGGATATTTTCCAAGTATATATATATATATACTAATAAGTATTTCATAACTTGGGGGAAAGACTATTTATTTAAGTATCACCCTATGTTTGGGTCTTATACTTGAAACGCTGGTTATTCTATATTTAGCCTGCTACTCGCTCGGTACTTGTACTGACCCCTTCGGGGGGCCCCACCATTTTCAGGTTGAAGCTAGGGCTTGCTACTTGCACCTTCTCACGGGTGGTATCATATCGGGAAGACGTGGTTCGTGCCCTCTTATTTTCTTTCCAACTACCGAACACTTGCTCATGGAAATTTGTTTTACTGTAAACTATTTTTGGGGCTTGCATGCCCATGTTGTTGGCCGGTTGTGGCTCATGACTACCATTGAATAATTCCGCTATTCATTGGTTTAAATGTGATGTTGTTATGTATGTTTACTACTGAGTATGGATGGATTGTTTTCTAGGACGCCTTGTGTAATTAAGTGAGGTTGACTCGTGGGTGACGTCACTTGATTATACGGAGGTTGTACACGCGCTTGGATTGCGGTCTGGGGCGTGACACAAAGCACATGTCAACTCCTATTTGTGACCTCCCTTCTTGATCCTTCACTTTGTGATCTCCCATAATGGGGATCAAGTGGGTTAACTTTTTTTTATCCCCATTTGACCTCCCATATTGGGTGCCCTTATGTAATGTTTTTGTTTAAACTTTATACTCCTCCTTAAGTCCTTATGTTATTTTACGTGATGCATTTTATTTCAAATTTTCTGTATTCGTTTAATGGTCTTTCAGATTATTTTAAATTTATTCTTTAATGGTCATGCGTTTTATTGTTGTTTAAGGAGAGATAGTGTAAAATTTTAAGTGACCTGGGTCACCATAGTAAGGAGAAATTGGAATGAGTTGGAGGGGATTAAGTTTTTGAAAGAAAATGATGTGGAAGAAAGAGTAGGAGGTCAAGTGGCATTAGCATTGTGGATGCTCTAATAATAAGATTTATCATTGACTGAAAAGTAGTCATGGCCTCATCTAATGGGTGCATATACATACAGACAGACATACAAGGTTTCATTAGTTCATACAGGTGAGACCCCCACACACATTGCGCCCATGTGATTTGATGACCAAAGAGTGGTCGGTCATATACACATTAATCAATTTCCTCATGTTGACTTGTAGTGAGAAACACATTATGTATTCACACACGAAAGAACACAAGAAAAGCCCATTTAACTAACTTACTAGCAAACTAAATACACAAAATTGGAAGATCAAAACAGAGGTAATTGAGAATGGGAATGGGTAGATTCTTATTATTGTTATGGTCGTCCACTGTGGCAGTGGACGTTAGTTGCTGCTTGCTGCTGGCGATGAGTGGAGCTGCTGCTGCTGCTTCCATACCAAAATGCATCGATGGGGAGAGAGAAGTGCTCCTCAAGTTCAAGAACACCGTTCTTGACAAGTTGGACAGGCTAAGCTCTTGGGGCAACCACACTGAAGATTGCTGCCGTGATTGGGAGGGGGTTGGATGTGATCAAGCTACTGGCAATGTCATCCACATCCATCTTTCTGATATGTCTCTGTCCGCGAAAGGTGGTGGTGGGAAGTATAGCACCAGCCTTTCATTCTTTGAGCTCCGCTATTTGAAGCATTTGGAACTTAGCTATAACCCCGACTTGCTGACAAACCAAAGCATCTCATCATTGATTGGGAACAACACCGTGGTTTACCTTCAATACCTAAATCTTACTCAAACTGGAATTGTTGGAACCATTCCTGGAAATCTTGGAAACACCATGCCTGCCCTGAAATACCTTGATCTCGCTTTTAATAGCTTAGAAGGCAACATTCCTGACACACTCGGAAATATGGTTAACTTGACTTCCCTTGACCTGGCATCGAACCAGTTGGAAGGTCGCATTCCTGAAGCTCTAGGGAATATCTCTGTCCTTGAACACCTTGGTCTTGGAGCGAATAGACTTGAGGGAGAAATCCCCCCATTTGGAACATATGCACTCTGCAATACCTGAGCATGGAATCCAACCGTCTTAATGGAAGCCTAACCATATCGACATTATGCCCAAATCACCCTCTTAGTACACTACACTTATACAGCAACCAATTCACGAGGTTATTTCCCAATCTTACAGTTTTCCCCTCTTTGGACAGTTTAGATTTATCATATAACCTCCTAGATGGGGTCATTTCTGAACATCACTTTCTTAACCTCTCCAAACTAACCTACCTGGACTTATCTTCAAACAATTTCACTTTCAATGTCACCTCTGCTTGGCTTCCTCCTTTCCAACTGCAATACATACGCCTTAGTTCTTGCAAGTTGGGCCCTGACTTTCCGAATTGGCTTAGAACTCAAGCCAACTATACGCAGCTTGACATTTCCAGTAACGCCATCTCGGATTCAATCCCCTCCTGGTTTTGGAATACACCTATTACTGGCTTTTTGCAAATTAATTTTTCTTATAACGAAATCAAGGGAATAATTGGAAATGGTGCTCAAGCATCAATCCGCGGTGGTGTACTAGATATGAGTTCCAATAAATTAGAAGGTGTCATTCCACCCTCTTTCTTCAATGTGGCTGTACTGTACCTTTCTAGGAATAACTTCACTGACCTCAATTTCTTATGTGACATTAAGGCACATGCTAGTGTGGAGCTTTTGGATATCTCATTCAATCAACTCTCAGGAACACTTCCGGATTGCTGGCCAAGTCTCTCTAGTCTGCGAGTTCTCAACTTGGGATACAATCAGAATCTATCAGGAACTCTTCCAACTTTCATCGGTTCATTGACTTCCTTAAAGGCATTGCATCTTGAACATAACAAATTTACAGGCCCTCTACCTTCATCCATGAAAAACTGCTCCAGCTTGGTATGTTTAGATCTGGGACACAACGATTTGTTTGGACCGACTTTGGACCAATACCAGATTGGGTGGGTGAAAGTCTAACACAACTTGTGATACTTGTGCTAACATCGAACAACTTCCATGCAAGTGTACCCACAAGTTTGTGCCGTCTCCAGTCTCTTCAGCTGTTAGACCTTTCCATGAACCACATCTCGGGGACTCTTCCCAACTGTCTTTCTAATCTCACTCAAATGATGACTGTATTAAAAGGAGATGACATTGCCTACATTTCTTATGAGTTATCCTTCAATTTCTCTGTTTCAAATTATAATATTTACGGTGCATCCATGGGCGAAGTTGAGAAAATAGAATTTGTATGGAAAGGTATGATCAATGAATTTGGAAGTATATTAGGTTATGTGTAGAGCATTGATCTATCATCCAACATGTTGAGTGGTGACATTCCAACTGAAATCACATCGCTCATTGGGTTGGCCTCGTTGAACTTATCACGAAACAATCTAAAGGGGCAGATTCCTTCGAGGATTGGTAACTTGGCACATTTAAATACTCTTGATTTGTCTAGTAACCATTTGTCTGGTAGCATTCCTCAAAGCCTTGCCCTGATTTACGGGATAGGGGATCTCAATGTGTCCAACAATAACTTATCTGGAAGAATTCCCAAAGGCACACAACTTCAGAGCTTTAATGCAAGTGTATACATGGGGAATCCCGCGCTATGTGGAGATCCACTCCCCAATAGCTGTGCAGGAGAAGAGTCAACTTATCTTTCTCCTCCTGGATCCAGTGAAGAAGAAGAAGATGAGCTTTTTGGCAGTGAGTTTTACGCAAGCCTGGGGGTCGGATATGTTGTTGGGTTTTGGGGAGTTCTCGGGACAATGCTATTTAATAGGTCCTGCAGGTTTGCATTTTTCAATATCCTCGGCGATATTGCAAATTGGACATATGTCATGGCTGCAACGCACAAGGAAAAGTTCCTGAGATCACTTGCTGGTTTACAGGTCGGTGTAAATACCCTTTATCTTACACGCAACCTCGTTTACTTTTTTTTTTGTTTTTCCCCTTCGAAAGCTGATAAGGGTATCGTCTTCATGTGTTTCAATATTAATGGTTTACTTTCCAAAATTCCTGCTGCAGGTTCTTTTTTAACGCAATGTGACTGGTTCGGCTTTAATATTGAAGTAACACTTCTACCGAAGAGAGTTTTATCATTTGTGGAGTGACTTCCATTGAAACCAATTTTGATTAAAACATTTTTGCTTCACTCTGTTTATTTATTTATCGTGCTATATCTTGAGAGTTGAGACAGATGTTAAGGTTTTTGGAATGACTAAGAAGCCTTCGCCTCTTAATCCTGAAACCCCAAACAATGCAGAGCTTATTAGTACGCAGTAGTTCTTACTTCTTAGTGATTGAAGTGTAGTTCTTTGGTTTTCATTTTCTTATTTATTTCCAAAAATGTTTTTGATTCATATTATAGGAGGTGGTTTTGCTGTTAGTATTTAATAGTAGTAGACGTTTAAGGGATTGAAATTTTGGGCACATGATACTATGATAGAATCCTGGACAAATATTTTAGATTAAGAAAGTTTATTCTTAAATGGACCATCCTTTATTTGTCATTCTTTTCCTGGTGTTCTCTAGCTTGGGTTCCTATATCTGATAGTGTTTTCCATTTTGTTCATTTTTTTTTCAGATTTAGAGCATTAAATATTTGCATGGTGATGATTAGGAGTTTGGTACTTCAGGGTAAAAATAAATCACTCAGAGGATGAGACTTGAGAGGAATACTAAGATACAGCAGATTTGATTGATGAGGAGGATATCATATTTATAGGCAATAAAGTTTTTTTTTTGTTTCCATTTCATTAACTAGGTGTATTATTTTTAATCATCATCTCTATGATTAAAAATAATAGAATCAGTATATACTCCTTGAATATTCTAATTACTTTGTACTATTTTGTAAAGCTTTTAAGTTTTAATGATTCTGCTAGGGTCTACTACTACAACGTGCTGCAATTTTCACCCCGGTTGACAAAATCACTTGGAGTAAAAACTTCTAACATCAATAAGCTTCCCATTATCAATACTCAGCACTCAGCAGAAGACGGGTAGCTCTTGCATGTGTTCTAAATGTTGATAGTTTTCTGATGTTACAATTTTATGCGCGTTAGGATGACCATAATCATCAAAACATAGGGCGCGAGGGCAGAGCTTTAAATAAAAAGTTACCCATGTATTGCTTAAATTAAATTTTCCCACCACATGTAACTACGATGATTAAGTTTGGGAAAAGGGACGGATCCCCGAAGTTACCACTAAAGGGCATCTAAGCCCTTAAACTTAATTTTGGAGCAAAAAAACTCCCTTTTTCATTAAAAGATGGCATCACCCCCTCTGACCCTCTCCAGGGCCGGTCCTGATATAGGGGCAGGATGGGCGGCTGCCCAGGGCCCACCAGAAAGAGGGGCCCACAAATCATTTAGTAGTAGTATGTATATTGAGTTATGTTCACCTAAGACGCGCTTGATCGGGAATTATGTACGGCCAAACCCATTTGAGGTGCTTTGAAATGAAACTGTTTCATGAAAGTTTGTTAGCATGTTTTTCATTAAGTGTAGATTATGTCCACATAATTTGAGCTTAAAATTCCACCAGGGAGTCTGTTAAATAAAATATTAAAAAACAGTGCTCTTTATATTTGTTTAAAAAGCGCAATGTTTTTTTGTAATTTATTTACCTAACTTCCCAATTGAATTAAAAACTGAAATTTTGTGCAAATAATCTAATCTTTGTGAAGAACATGCTAACAAAATTTTATCAAAAAAATTGACCAGATCATTTTGTCAGGCGCTTCTGACCAGATCATTTTCGTATACTCTAACACTCCGTCAAAGATACCCCTCAACCCTCATATCCATAGAGTGAGCCACAACAGCACAACTACGCATGAGATACAATTGAATGACTTTCAACTTTCCTCACAGAAGCCGAAAATTAAAGATGATATTATCCTCGACAATTTTCCTTTAAGAATGCCTAAAAATTTGTTTTTGTATGACTTATGATACCAAGTAGTTTTATTAAGAAAAACATTTAGTTGTGTAACGAATTTTATTTTTGATAATGAAACTTTTTTAATATATTCTTACAACATACTACTTATATAATTAGGGGCCTATTTTTGTATTTTGCCCCGGGCCTATAAATTGTCAGGACCGGCTCTGACCCTCTCTAACGGTGATGAACATACGGAGGAGTACTTAACGGCTTGGGTTGAGAATTTCTGCTACATGCAAATACACCCCAAAATTTTTCTCTAGCTAAGTAATATCTAAGACTGTTTTTTTTGTTTGTGAACAAATATGTTAAATAACATGTGGCAAACTAACTAACTAAATGTTGAACTATAGAGTTGAGATGTTTTTAATTGGATTGCAATTTTTTGATCTGATGTAATTTGGTCTAATCAATTTTGTTTGATCTGGTCTGATATGTTTTAAAAGTTTTACTTAGACTTATTTCGGTCTTAGACAAGATCAGATCTGAACAAATCAGACTAGACAAAAAAATAAACTAGACCTCGAAAAATTATAAAATACTCAGAAACCAGAAATCTATCGAACAAGACAAAACCAGACCAATTCAGACTAGGCTAAATCAGATTAGATCAAACCATAAAATTTCAAACGAAAAACAATCCTACATCTCGTCTGCTATGAAATGTTATTAATATTATTTATATATTATAATCCGTATATAATTTATTTGTATTCATTTATTATTAAAAATAATAAAATTTCTCCCAAATTATTGTACAGTATAATAGTATATCTTCTCGGCTTATACATTTTTAATGTGTATATTATAAAGATTAAAAGTATGCAAAAAATATTTTATGTTCTTTATCATACCATAATATTTTTCCGTTTAACTTATACTACGTGTCTACGTATAAGGTATACGGTAAAAATCGAGAAAATATATTTTATTGTACGATATTTCTAAAGGAATTTTATTAATCTTAATAATAAATAGTTAAAAATAATTATAAAAAGATTTGGAAGATAATATGAAGATATACATATTCATATAAAGTTTATATACATATTCAGAAACTACATTAAAAGCTCTATAAAGTTAATAAAAGAAAATTTAATTTTAATAAAAGTTGAATATGTAAGGTAAAAGATTATAAATTAGTTTACATTGACCAGAGAATAGTGAACATGAACTCTTAAGTGAGACAGAGGTATAAGTAATACTACGTATAAAATAAAATTTTAGATCAGACCAGCTCCAGACTAAAATTGATCAAATAAACTAGATCATCAAAAAAGTTCGGTCCAATTAAAATTTCCCTAACTCTATAATTCGACATATCGGCGGCTAGTTAATTTGCCAAAAGTTTGTTTAAGATACTTGCTCACAAAGAAGAAATATAAGCTGGGATGTGCTTTGTGACAATTTTGGGGTCCCCCTTACCTCTAATCTGATTTGGCCTGGTCTATTTTTGTCTTGTTCGGTAGATATCTGATTTCTGAGTATTTTATCATTTTCGAGGTCTAATCTATTTATGTCTAATCAGGATTGTTCATGTCTGATCTTGTCTAATACTTAAATACGGAGTAAGTCTAAGTAAAAACTTTTAAAACAGATTAGTCTAGATCAGACAAAAATTGATTAGACCAAATTACATCACATCAAAAAAATTCAATCCAGCTACTAGTTAATTGGACATTTAGTTAGTTAATTTGCCACATGTTATTTAACATATTTGTTCACACACAAAAAAAATAGACTTGGATGTTATTTAGCTAGAGAAAACTTTTGGGGTGTATTTGCATGTAGTACAAATTCTCAACCCAAGCCGTTAAGTACTCCGTATTTTCATCACCTGAAAACTTTTGGGGGGAATTTCGGAATTTGCCCCTTTTCCCAATAAGTTTTAATTATTCACATGAAACATATATTACGTACAAGCTACTACGTATATACTAACTAGTTTTCATAACGCGCTTTGCGCGATTCGGAAAATGCCCAATATTTTTTGGCAATATAAATTTTATGTTACTTTACTCTGTTTAAAAAGGATGCTTAATAAATTAAGTAGTTTGCAGTTATTATATACAAAGGTCGTCATGACTCATTAGTGTAAAATTATGTTGTACTAATATTATATACAAATATGTTTTGTGAATCTTTTTAGCCGAACCATAATGACTCTATGTGCATAGCTTACATAAAGCATCATAATTTTAGCTGCAACAAGAAGAATCGTTTCAGTCACTTAAATGGATAATTTCAATATAAAATAGAAAGCAAACAAAGAATAAAATGATAGAAATGGCAGGGAAATACATGGGTTTAAAACTAAATGTTTTTCATTTGATTCATTCATGTATATATTCATAGAGATTATGAGACCTGATACATTTACAAAGTTAAACAAAGTATAAGGGGGGGAATTCATCATCATTTTTCGCCTTTTGGTATCTTATTTTTTGCAATATAAACATACCCCAAACATCCATTTGTGAAGGCGTGAAGTTTTGGTGAAGAAAATATCGGAGAAATTTGTAACCAAATAGAATATTAGTTGTGCCTCAAAAAATTAGTTTTTACACATTAATTACAATACTTAACGGTTTGAACCTATGTAAAATCAATGTAAACACATGAATCACATCAGATATTCAGATATTCCTTTGCATTTTCCCAATCCAAACACAATAAAAGAACCACACTTAACATTTTATTCCTTTTCGCTAGCAATTTCTGGAATTGACATATTGCCTAAGAGGAGCAAGACGGTGAAATACAAAAAGTCATACAAAAAATAAAACAACTAATTGGTGAGAAGATTCAAATCGAAGATTTGAATTGGTGAGAGTTATGTAGCATGACATAAAACCTGAATAAAACAAAAACTGGGCTTAGGTTGTAATGTATTTCAAAGGAAACAATTCAATTCACCTTAACTGTAACCAGAATGCACATACTATCATAACAGGGGCACAGATGCCACGTCAAATACTCAAATGTATGATGCTTCTACTAGTAAATAATTTTCGTACATGCTAGAAAATTATGTAGTACTACGTAATACTTTGTTTGGACTTTGGATAGCTTTGGTTGTGAAGAGAAAAAAGTGAAGGGTGAGTGAAAAGAAAATTAAAGTAGAATACTCATATTGGCTTAAATACATTTATATATAGTTCTTGCAAATATGACATATTTTTCTTAGATCATTGCAAAATATTTTTTTCTAGATTAGATAAGAATAAATATGTTTTTTTATAGGACTGGGACCGGTTCGGTTCTTACTCAAAATGAGTGGAACCGTTATAAAAGTTTTAACTAATGAAATTGGTTCGGTTCCTATATAAAAAATCAAGAACCGTTATGGAACCGAACCGGTAGTAAACGGTTCGGTTCTTCCTTTTACCGGTTCCTAGAATAATTTTTTCACGTCTAAGAATTAACACATAATTTTAAACACGTCGAAAATTCAAAACACGAGTATTAAAATTTTATTTGAAGCTCTAATCACTTCAAACATCAAAGGTCAAACTTAACTAATGAACTTTGAACACTTAATAGAACAAAAGTGATTTAAATTTTCATGTAATAAACGAAACATTAAAAATCGTTGTAGTGTCGGAGCGATGAATGTTACTCGTCATCATAGTAGCAAGAATAGGATGCCTACTTCAAGTCGTTCAAAACATAAAAAAAAAAAAAAGACATTGAGTTTGCATGTATAGATATAAAAAAACATTATTACATTCTATTGATTCATAATAAATCTAATAATTAGAAATATCATGAAAATAGTAAAGTAAAATATGTGCAATCAACTACAAGTTATTTGGGTTATTATATATTAATAAAATTTATGTGATGGAACAAAACTTGATTTGTAGAAAGGAGTTTAATATATTATATCAACGTCATGTACAATATTTATTACTTCTTTTCCGTTGATTAAATTAGAATTGTTAGTTAAATATCTTATATTGTTTTATTAATGTTGTTGTTGTGGTGGTTATTATTGCTATTATATTATTATTATTATTGTTACTACTACTACGTCCTACTACTAATATTATTTTATTTTTTATTTTTTTAATAACGGTTCCTTAACGGTTCCATGCACATATTTTTTATAGGAACCGGGAACCGAACCGTTGTAACCCGCTTCAGTTCGGTTCCTACAGATGAGGCATTAATTGTTAATGGTTCGGTTCCTAGATGTTGTTAACGGTTCGGTTCCAATCGGTTCTACGGTTCCTGGTTCCAAAATCCACCCCTAATTTATTATTCTCTTAAACCTTAACAAAGTAAAACAGTCCATCCAAACATGGTATCATCGGCCAAATGAATAAAATGTTCTATGCAATTACAGTTTTGATTGGATAGGATATACTCTGGGCTGCATTTGGAAATTACATTTTCATTTTAAGAACCTATGTTCATAGTTCCATCTTTTTTTTGAAAATAAAAATACTTCATAGTCCAATCTTAAGGTGAGTAATATGTTTCAAGGCTAAAGGGTCAAATAGGTTCTTGAATTAACTTAAAGTGCAAATCACCCCTTATATAGGAGGTTTTGTCCAGCCATCGCCATTTGGGGTGGTTTCCAGTG